TTCCCTACATTAATTTATATGCTTTTACTATTTTCAGTATATATATATACGTGTGTGTGCGTGTGCATGTATGTATGTTACAGACACACACGCACACGCATACTTATATAGTTGAAAATTCGATTTAAAAAAAACGAAATTTTTTTAATGTCGTTTGAAATCGCGAATGGTTTTATTTTTTAAATTTATCTTGAATAAAGGCATGAAGAAATTGGCTTTATCAGAGAATGTTGCATCTCTAATGGTATCCATATAATCATTTTGATAATTGAAATAAACTTCAGATTAGTGCCTCCACAAACTGGTATATCTACCCTACCCCCCTGACGTTTTCTAATCGATATTTATACATGAGGATGGAATTGAAGATCAAAGTGAAGTCATCACATCTTACATCTTGCATGAATTTCTTGCAGACTGGACGAATCTCCTTAGATAGTGTAGCGCTGAACATCATAACTTGTTTACCATGAGGAGTGCTTCGGAAAATCTCTTGCACATCTTTGCGCATATCTATAATATGATAAAATTATTATGTTTCTATAATTTAAAAATGATATTGCTTCAAACTAATATAAATAATTTACCAAGTTGTTCAAGCATTTTATCACATTCATCAAGAACAAAATGTTTAAGATGCTTTAAACTGAGTTTTTTACTTTTAATAAGAGCTAAAATACGTCCTGGTGTTCCAACAACTATGTGAGGACATGTATTTTTTAAAACTTCTTCATCTTTCTGAATCGGTAGACCTCCAAAAAATACTGATACCTGAAAATAAATCATGAAAATTAATAATAATTATTATTCAATTTATATAATTTTATAATCCAAAAATTTTAATCAGTAGTGGGTAGTGGTAAATTAAATGTCATCATCTTTAATTTAGAAAAATAAAACATCATTTAAATTTTTCTTAATATATATTAAGAAGCCTCTTAAATTTTAAAAAAATTAAAAATTTTAAATTTTACCTTTACTTGTGGCATATATTTGCTAAATCTCTCATATTCTTTGCTGATTTGAAATGCTAATTCTCTTGTATGACACATCACAAGAACATAAACTTGATTTTCAGTTAATTCCAGTTGTTGTAATGTAGCTAAAACAAAGACTGCTGTTTTCCCCATACCAGATTTTGCTTGGCAAAGAATATCCATACCAAGAACAGCTTGTGGAATGCATTCATGTTGAACTATAAATTAATAAAAATTTTGAATATTGAGCTCCTTAAAATAATGTTTTTACTTTAATTTTTAACTAAAATCAGAGTTAAGATATATAATCATATAAATCAGTTGTCCCTATCAATATGTTTCATCATACGATGGTTCTTTCAAATTATTTATAAAAATAATTATAACATTACCTTCTGAAGGATGTTCAAAACCACAATCTACAATTGCACGTAAAATTTCAGGTTTTAATAAGAAATCTCTAAAACCACTACTATGTATTGAAACATATGTTCCTTTAACTTCTTTTTTAGCAGGGACAACTTCTCCATTGCCTTCCACAATTTGTTCAGTCTGCTCTTCATCTTCATAATCCAAAAGATCATCGTTATCTGCCATGATGTATTAAATTAAAATCTAAAATAACGCAATAAAACTTAATAAAATTATTTATAACTACAGATGAAAAAATATATTACACATTTTAATTATGAACATTGAATAAGTTATAAAATGTAAGCATGTGATTTTATAGGTATTTATAATAACTACAAAGGTTTTAATAAATACTGTAGCACGTTAATTATAATTATTCATATACAAAATTTTATAAATTAAAATACCTCCAAGTCACATGAATTTATTTGAAGCATTTCTTTATAATAAATACATAACACAAAAATACACTAATAAAATTAAAACAAATGAGACTAAAATAGTGATTATGATTTCTTTTTCTGTATCTTCTTAAACACATATATTTATTTATACGTATACACGCGCGTATCTGAAATGTTAATTTGTATTAATACAAATTTAAAATAAATAACAGCATAAAAAAGTTTTAATGAAAGGTGGGTTTCGACAAACTAGAATGTAGCATCGTGTTAACTTATTGTAACTCACAAAAATCGATACACATTTCTATCCTAAAATTTATGCAAACAGATTTTTAATATAAAAATAATAATAAAATTATGTGGAAAAAAATAATAAAATTACAATGTACTAATATTCATTAATGGATTGAATAATTTAGTGACTAAAAAATAAAGATTACTATGAAAAAATATTTATTCACCTTGACGATCACTCCCGATTAAACACCACTCCAATGCAAAGCCGTGGAAAGGGAAGCCAAAGGGCGCGTTTCTGGATATACACAGCTACATCCGTGACGCGCTTGATTATACTACGTGAGTAAATAATGTTGGACACAACTGAAATCAAATGCGTACTTATTCCTTAATTTAAATAAAAAATGTTTAAATAAGCGCGTAAATTGATTTAATATAAATTTTATTTTTACATAAATAAGTTTTTAATTAACAGCTTAAAAGATTACGTGGTCTATTTATTTTATTAAACTTATTTTTTATATATAATAGTAATATAAGTTTTAATTAAATTATGGCATCTACTTAATATTATTTTAATTTAAAATATTTGTTTATTATTCGTTAATTAATTTGATTCCTAAATATTGTATTTTATTAATTAATACATTTTATTAAAAAATTATTAAATTTTTGTGTAATTTTTTAACATCTTTTATTTTTACTTATATATATTAAATTACTAAAAAAAAGCGTGTAAACTTTTAAATAAATCTAAGAAAATTGTTTAAACGGATTTTAATTAGAAAACATTTACAGATAATTTGTTATAAGAACGAAAGGTACTGAATAATATAATACTTAATGGATTGTGTTGAAGAATGATAAAAAAGCATTAATGTTATCCTAAGAGGTAAAAATTAAATGTTTTTATTAGCACAATAAACAAATTTTTGTCTATTCTTTTACATAGAAAACTAAATAAAAATATCTTTTTAAATAATTTTCAAAATAATATCTTTTATAACTGTTAAATAATATAAAAATAGTACAGGGATATCCACAATACATACAATTGATTTTTTTTGTGCTGTTAATAAAATTAAAAATTAAAATTTGATAAATTATAAAAAAGTATTGATAAATAAATATTGTTTATAATTTATTATTTATTATACATAAGTTCAAAATTATATTTACCTTTTGAACATACATATTTTTTAATCTAATCTAATATAAAAACATGCAAATATTAAAAAAAATATTTGTTATGTCTTTTATAATTAATATAAATGTTTTTAAGGATCATGCATTTTAAATCGTATTCAAAAATTAAAAACTTATTAATTGATAATCTACAAATTGCACTATAAATGTTATATGGAAAATGAAGTAATTAATAAAAGTAAATATGAATTTCATAGTAACATCACATTAATTTCCATTAATAAATCGATGATTAAATTATCAATAAATTAATTGTTTTAAATTTATTATGTAAAAATTTAAAATATTTATTTTGAAAATGTATAGTTTTAGTATCTAATTATATTTATATGTATATATAAAGTAAAATATAAATGTCATTGGAATTTTACCGGAATAACTCCTAGTTCCTTTTTATTAATTTGAATACCTTTAGCAAAAATTCCATTAAATTTATAACTGGGTATTATACGTACATTTTCTACAATCTAGTTTATTTTTATTTTTTTCAAGTATTACATTATATATTAAAACTTCATTTTACATTAAAAAAATCAATATATAAATGTTATTAATCGACTAATTTAAATAATTTTCTTAATAATAATATTCAAATTAATACTTTTATATTTTAATCTTTTTATCTAACTTAATTAAATTAGATAACATTATATTTAATGAATTAATTATTCGTTTATAAACATATATAAAAATATATAAAAATTAAGAATAATACAAAATCATAGTTAAAATTATAAAGGGATATAAGTGATATATACTATAAAAAGATATATAGATTTAAAAAATATTACAAATCAATTTATGTATAAAAAAAATATATGTATTAAAATGTTAAAAAGAAAATTAAATATGGTAGTGCAAAAATTTAAAAATATCAATTAAAAATTGTTTCAAAATTATTGAATAATAATTATCAGATATAGAAATTAAAATTGTAAAATCTAACATTTTTACACATATTTTAGTATGTATAGTTATAGCAAAATATTATAAATACATATACTAGTCACTCATAATTGTTACAGTACAATTTTTTAAGAAATAATTTTAAGAAATTATATAATATTTAAATCTTTTAACTTTATTATATAATTTTTGTTGTTAAAATGTGACATTTCAATAATATATACTCATCTTCATTAGACATACCATATTTTCATTAAATTAAATATAAAGTGAAAATATTCTTATTGGACCTTAGATTAATTACTACGTAGAAAATTTATGTATTCAATTTCATAATTTATATTTTATTTAAAACAATATTTTTCTTAAAAGTATGTAAATTATTTTCATGTGTATAATTTAAAATATTTAAAACTATTTTATATAATAATGTTAGTAATTGATAATTAACTTTCTTTATAATAAAAAAAAATATTGATTTTATGTGCAAATAATACATGTAAACAAATGTATTATTTTCAAAATGCCATAAAAATTTAGTTATTAAATTAATTCATAATAAATATAATACTTTTAAGTATTTAATATTAAGAAGTTTGTGTATAATAAGACCAAATGTTTGTTTTTTGATTTACAATCATATTTTCTTAATCTTTCGAAAATAGTTCATTTTGTTTTTGTTAGGAAACAATAAACTTTATGAATTCTTGTTTTCATATATTAAAAAATGTCGATATTAGAAGCAGAATTCTATTCAAACAATATGTATTTGAATTGATTGCTAAGTAAATCAACAAAAATTATATTCATAGATATCAGATATAGAAGGATAAATAAATAATTATATAATGTGGTTATATAAATTCATATAAGAACATTGTAAAATATTCTTTATTTACCATAAACATAATAAATTATCTTTTATCAAACCATCATGTTGACATAATGGTTAACATCACAATTGTTCATTATGAAAATGTATAAATGGATAGGTAAGAATTAAAAAGTAGTATCAACTATTATAATTATTATCAAGTACAATATAAAAAATTTATGTTAATATCTTGATAATATCCTATAGTATCATTTTGCATCATTATAAGTTTTCAAACAACCAGCATAGATGAAATTATTTATACTTTAATAGACTTGGTGAAGTATAAAATGAGGTGTTAAACATATGCATCTGGTTTAGCAAAAGTAATTTGCATTCTATTACCATATACATAAAAAATTTTAACTCCCTGATTCTTACAAATTGGTACAAAGTTCTACGTATCTTCTCAACTACTACTAATAATGATTTAAAAGAAATTAATTTTGGTGGTATATAATTGGTAACTAATTAATTCTCTACATTTTTAATTTATGAAAAAATGTATGTATTAATTTTTATTTGTACATTATATTATTTGTTTTTCTCTACAGGCAATCATTACTATTTTTAATATATACACTAGTTTAGTGATGAATATTAGTTTCAACTATAAATACTGTTAATACATATTTGTTAGATGACTTGATATTACTTGTTTAATTAAATCGTCATAAAGAGAAATGATCATTGATCTATATTATAAATTTTTAATTTTAATGTATTCTTGTTATAATAATAAGAACTTATAATACTACATGCAATGCAATAGTTCATATTTTATTAAAAGATAATCAAATTTTTATAATATTTTGCATATATTTAAAGTATTTAAATATAGAGTTGTATAACAAAATAAAAAAGGAAATAATTTAATATAAACTAATTTAATTTTTTATTTTTATTTCCTGGATTGTTGCCACCTCGACCTACTGATACAGGTCCTCTCCCTCCTCGACTACCAAATGTACCTGGAATTAATTCACGATTTTAACCATCATTGCATATAAAATTAATGTTACTGATTTACATTTAATTAAATAATCAATTTTTCATTATTTTATAGTAAAAGTTATTAAAACTTGTAATATCGTACTTTATAATTTATTGAAATATGGAATATTTCCTATTTTTATGCCATTTTATAATTTTATTTTGGTTTTCTAATTCTTATTTTTTGAATCCATAATTCAAATTTCTTAAAGAGTAATAAAAATTTCGAATTTCGAATCAATGGTATATTCATAGATTATATTCTTTTTATTAATGGAAAAATTGATGAAATTAATTTGATGAAATTATACAACCACTTTAATATATATTTTAAGTTTTGTTGAAATGGTTTTTCTTAAAGTTACTTATTTAAAATTTCTTATTTAAATGATTATAAATAAATTAAATAAAATTTTATTTTTATTTTTAAAATTGTTTATTTCTGATAATTTTTTTTATTTAAATAATTCTTAAAACCTTTTATATTATTCTTTTTTAGGGTCAATTAAAAAAAAAAATACTAAAAAATATAATCATGAACACCATTTATAATATAAGTACCAATTTTATGGTTATACAATATTATTAACAAATTTTTAATGCTTATATTCAATGACAAATTAATATTATTTTAATAATATATTCAATAATAAATTAGATTATTATTATAATAATTAACTATATTTAAATGTTAGCATATTATTTATTTAAATTTCATTTTATTCTTAATGTGAAAAATAAATTTTTTTAATAACAAAAATTTACTTTATTTCAATACTTTAATATGCATTTTCAATTTATAATTTTTTTTACTATAAATTCAAATGTATTTAAAACTATATTTTAGTTAATGAATATTCTTAAACTTTTTTAATACAAAACTTTTTTAAATTAAATATGTTATTATAATTAAAAAGATTTTTTATAAGAAATTAAGCTTATGTAATAATGATTAATTAGGTAATAATGATTATTGTGATAAAATAATTAAGTTATCATGTTTATATTTTTATTTAACATATTATTATTAGCTTACATTAAATATAAGATAGTATTTAATTTAAATATTTATGATAGTTTATTAAAAATTTAGCTATTTATATATTATATATTACATATTATTTTAATTTATTAATAAGTATTTTTATATACCTCTTCCACCTCCACGACTACCTCTTTGATTTTGCCCACCTCTCATTTTCATTTCTCCTCGTCCCCTTGATTTCATTTGAACATCCTCTTTGACCATATCAATAATTTCATCAGGTATCCGTAAATATTTAATTGTGCTTCCTCTGATATAACATTCTGGCATTCTCCAAAATTTGTCCCCATCCTAAATAAATGATTATGAAATTTAATATTACATAGTATTGAAGCATTTTTTCTAATTCAAAATATTTAAATAACAAATAAATAATTATTATGCAGTAAATTTATTGCATTTATTAATACTTTCTTAATATTAAAGCTTTTATAAGCCCATGGATTCTATGAATTTATATATATAAAAATATATAAAGATATAAATGTTTTTATTGTGGAAATATTAAATTCTCTTATTAATTTGAATTAAATTTACATTCTCAATTAAACTTATGTATTTATAAGTTTACTTTCCGTATCAAAAAATATATATTTTTATTAATATGGCATATAATATATAACTAAATATAAAGAACTTTTTTATAAACTTGTTAAATAATCTTAGACCATAATACTAAATTTGTATATACTCAATTTGAAATATTAAATCAAATTGATATATGTTCATAAAATATATCATATTTCATTATTAATATGGTATTGAATATATAACTAAATATAAATAACTTTTTTATAAACTTTTAAAATTATCTTATAAATATTTGATATTTAAATATTAACTTTAACTATTTAAATTAATAATATTACAAACTTAGGAATTTCAAATCATGATCTTATTTTTTACTTATCTGCAACTTTAAATGTTAATATTACCTTATATAACACACCACAGAAATTTTAAATTAATTAAAATAGTTATTATCAATATAATTATAAACTACAACAAAAATTTTTAAGGTGTTAATATTGGTGAAATAGTTAATATAATTTTACCTATTTAATTAATTTTTTACTAAATTAAGGAAGTAAAAACGTAATAAATTTATTTAAACTTACTCTTGATGTACAGATAACTTCTCGTAAATTAATATTCATCCAATTATCACAACTGACTAAGTGGCCATTATAAGTTTCTCCATTTTTCAATTCTACTAACTAATAAAATTATTTTAATACAAAAAATTAAATTAAGAAATAAATATAAATATATACATATATTGAAAAATAATTTGAACGTTTAAAATTTACCATAGGATGATTTTGAGCAGTACGTAATAAGGATAATGGTAACTGAAAAATAAGTTTATAAATTATTAAAGATAGTTTATATTTATATTTTTTATTTTCTTATGCTCGTACCATATTAAATATTTTTCCAGAAGTAAAAAACCAGTTTTAAGTTTAAAAACATAACGTCATGCACATAACTTATGTACGCATACGTATTGATAAACTTATGAGGTTAAAATGCATTTATATTCTAACCAATAATCATACACAAATAAGAGTGATTAATTCATTTAGATTATAAACTCAAAGCTAAATGCTAGATTGTACAGCTTTTTTTGTTTTGTGCCCACATACAGTTATAACAAGCAGTGTATTCTGTTTCCGCATGCGCAATAAAATACGAGTATAATTTTATTAAAAATTTAAACAAATATAACATATTTGAACAAATAAAAGAATTTAAAGTATTGAACTTAATAAAATAGGAAGAAAATTAGTAAATTACTATAATTTTTTATAAAAATCGATAATACTTACACTCAATATTTTAATATTTTTAATTTTTTAAAAGTATATATCTATAAAATTTGTATAAAATTTTTGACTTAATATTAAATATTAATGATCTTAAAATTATTCTTTACCTGTCTTTTTAAATTTTAGTTTTTCCTATCTTACAGAAACAAATGAGAGATGTTAGCAGTTATTTACGATTATTACTGTCGTATCTTTATATATCTCACGTTAGGCTGGACAATGAAAGTTATATATTGATGTATATAAAACAAGAGTATGAATATCAATACTAGTGAGGCATGTGTCAAAGAAAAAATTTTAATATTATGTTATTTATATACAATAAGAAATATACAACGATTTAACTGTTTTAAGTTATGTATTTTAATCAATATTGTGCAAATATACAATGAAGTTTGTAAAGTAAATATCAATGATGCTTGTAAAAAGACGATCACTGCCTTATCATTGTTTTTATTCAATCGACCAAAACTATTCCAAGAATAAAATAAATCCTTTAATTCTGTATCCTGACTACATAATATCAAATGGATTCCCCTTCAACATTATGCTATCTTAACACTTATTTACATTATTTAATGTGTCAAACACTTCTTACTCAACATTTTAATATTATATATAGGTTAAGCATATTTTTTTTTAATTTTTTAAATTTAAATTTAATTTAACTTTTTAAAGCATTAGTAACGTCAAATATATATGCAAATCGATAAAAAATATTGTAAATTTCTAATAGATGCTATTTTACAGATATATACATTGATCAATACATAAATTTATAAAAATAACTGTAATATAAATAAATTACAATACAAACTTTAACTTATTTCTATTAATATTAATAATATAAAAAGTAAATAAAAGTACTAATCTACAAATACATGGAATAAGAACCACTGAAAAATCATGAAATCTAAAAATAAAATATATCTATATTGGTTGTACAAGAGAAAACTAAACACCATCTTTCCCCCAATAACTACAATTAATGCCCTTTAAATAAATAAAAACAAATTTCATTAAATATAAAAATTACAATATATTCAAGCTAATGAATTTACAAACTTCCTATAAAATGACATTAAAACCAATACTAAAAAGACTATTAAAAATGTAATAAATATAAATATTTACTTTGTTTACAAGTAAAAAATAAAATAAAAACTAAAAATATATGCCAATAATTTAAATATGGTATAATTGATTAATTCAATAAATTATTTAATAAATCAAATTTAATTGATAAAGATATTGATAATCGTTATACCATTTTTGAAGATTACAATGCCAAATATATTCATTACAACAATATAATGATAAAAATATTAATTTAAAAAGCACTGAATATTGAATAATTTTTATATAAAACATAAAAAATATTACCCAGCATTAAGACTTTATTTTTACTAGCATTCTTTGATCTCAGGCAAAAATTTAAATATTTAACAAATAGATTTTGAAGGATTATTTGTAGTTTTAACTTATTATTTGTAGTTATAAGTTTATAATAATTTTAAATATACGTTTTAATTAAATAAAAAATATTAAAACAAAAATTTACCAAGTTACTTTAATAATAAATCACTGATTAATTTGCATACCAAAAGTATAATCTATTAATAAACAATAACTAAATATCTTATTGGCTAAACTAAAAATCAATTTATTTATTTTATTTATATATTAATTTTAATATTAAAATTTTCACATATAAAGGTCATATTTTACATTATTATTAACTAATTCATAATGTTATTGGTAATTTATCATTTATAACAGTGGTAATTTATAACCATAATTATAAAATATACTGTTTTGTTCATTCTTTTATAAATTTTATTTGCATTTACAAAAAAAAATCAATGATAGGAAAATTACATCAACAAAATTCAATCAAAGTAACTAGTTAAAAATACAAAATAATAGTTATAACAATAATTTTTAATAGTCATTTGAAAACAGTAAAATCTTGTTAGGATATTATTTATAAACTTTACTTATATGCGATACAAAAGTATTTAATTTAAAACTGTGTTTAAACTAAAAGCACCTATAAAAAATAAGATATTCTAAAATCTACCTACTATCAAGAGCACATAGATAATTATTTAAATACCATCATTTTTTAGTATGTTTAAGCATGCCTTTCATCTTCCTTTTTTACACTTAATATGTCATAAAATAAGTAGCAACAATTATAATTTATTATGCTTTTTTATTTATTAAAAATTATTTAAAGCTTGTGTTTATGCTGAGTTTAATACATAAAAATACTTAATTTATTCAGACCATCATCGTTTATTAATACATCTTTCATCATATTTATTACGAATAGGTTATTTTGTTATGTTTTTTTGGTAATACAAGAAATAAATAATTGAAATTTCCAATAGTCGAATATTTCCATCAACTACATTAATTTAATTCTGTAAAGTAAATGATAAAACTATTTCGTGTGTACTATATATTATAAAGCGATATTAAATATGTATATTATAATATTAATATTATAGAGTTAAAGAATAAAGAGTAGCAAAGTAAGAACAAAGATATTTTCGATTAATAATATTCATTAATTAGAGTTTACATTGTATATATATACGATGAACAAGAATTATTAAAAACATTTAATAAGTCAATATTTGATTGAATTTATAAAAATCTATATATATTCAGTTTAATGGAATATATAAAAATACAAATATTTATTTGACTAAAGTTATTTTCAAAAAAAGTTATTTATTTTGTACTTGCACAAGAGAACTTTTTAAATTGAATTAACTTTTAATAAATTCAATTGCAAATTTATATAAAATTTTGTTTGTTGCTTTATTTTTTACTTTTCTGATTTCACATTTAATATGCATCAATCATAAAATATATTTTTAGTTAACATTAAAATTTTCAATCAAAATATTATTTGAACCATTATATAATGCTTACAGCTTTAGATTTCATTTTCTTATAAACACATAATTATTAGATTGTAACTTGAAATATGATAGTTTACATTTATAATTCAAATTTTAATTTTAAATGTTGACTTTTCTTAATGAAAGTTCGAATTAATCTTTTGCTCCTTTCTTGTGGTGACTAATTTGTGAAATAGCCATATAATTGTTTTTCAAATAATGTTACATATATATAAAGGAGTCATAGTTTGATTGCTTTGAGCATAAGTTATAACAAAATTTGATACCAACTGTACTAAATAATTAATTATTTACTTATAATGTGGTCTGTTATATCAGTACTTTAATTTAAATATCTATCATATTTTACCTGTCATTTTTAAGAAGTTCAATTTGTCTTTCAATTTTTTATCCTGGGTAATAGCTTGTTATAGTATATTAAATATATTTATGTTATTCCATTATCTAATTTATATCTTAAATATTAAATGTACTATCAATGTGAATAAGCAAATATTTTATACGTATGCAGTAACTCTTATCAATTGTGTTAAGAGAAATACCTTTAATTTTTCCATAAATTTAACTGAAAATAATTAGATTTAAGGATATTGCATATAAAGTATATATAAAGTACTTTTAAAAAGTATAAAAAATTTCGTTAGGATGACTAATAAATGAATGAATATAAATATGCTTGGACAGATCTTATTTTTTTATAATTTAATTATATTTTTAACACAGTATATGTTATACCTCATTTCAAAATGAAGTTATTTTCATTTATTAACAAAGCATATGACAATATTAACTATACATTTTTAAATTTATAATTACATTTCCATGCATTTACAAATTGAATTATTACAATATATTACTAATATCGTTACATGTTTTGTTATTGTATAATTAATAATACAATGATATACTGGAACAGTAAATGACAAATATAATCAATTCATTGGAAAATTTAGGAGATTTCTTAACATTGGAAAAATATCAATTATATTATAAAAATGAACTGTGATAATATGAAGTACATGGAGATAATTCTGTATAAAAATATTGTTTTGAAAATAGCAATAAATACTTTTTTATTATATATTTATAAAATTGGTACAATCACAAAATGAAAGATTAATAAAAATACAACTTACAATTAATTAATTTTTCATTAAGAGGTATAAATAATGAACCAATATAATTGATTGTTCTCTTATTAATAAGTTTTCATTTCTTTATAATTTTATTGATGAATAGATTTTACAATTGATTTTGTGAAATATATTTATATTTAAAATTTTTTACGGTTTGAACTAATTTTATTATAATAAATGAACTTTGAATAAACTGTTAATGATAAAACAAATTCGAAAAATTCAAAACAATTTTTAAAACTACAAATTAAATAGTTATGTTTTAGGAAGGTATTTAAATATATTCGAAATTTACATTACGCTTAGATTATTTTTTATTTGTTTTCTTTTTAAGTATTTATTAAATTATATATTTATTAAAAAGAAATACAATTCTTTTAAATTTTTTTATTTATAACTACGTTTCACCAAATATAAACAATAATTGAAAGCCGTTTATCAATATATTCTTTTTTTTTTGTAATGTGAATTTACATCGGTTAGGTTAGGTACAAATTTTTATTCTCATTGATATATGTGTTGAAGATCCAATGAGTTTAAATTTTTACTGAAGCTGCAAAAGAAAAGGACGTTTAGGTTTTAAAATAAATTACTTATCTATTATTTCTATATTAAATTAATATTTCGATTTCGAATAGTAAATATGATTATTCAAAGTAATTTAATGTAAAGTGATTATTTAAGTACAGGCAGAATATTTCTTAAAGACTAACTTATTGATGTTAATTTGTATTCAAAAGCGTATGGAATCAATTTTTATTTAGTATGATATATAATATTTGTTATTGAAGTTCTAAGATACTTTATGTCATACATATATACCTTATAAATATGTTTTTGAGATCAAAAATATTGCATTGTTTATATAAACAGAATTTCATAAAGTATCAAAAAATTGATTCAAAATACCTAAAAGTAAAGTATACAATTTCAGTAAATTTAATTATCTTTGTAGTTAAAATTATTTGTATGAATATTTGTTTTTTAGTGTTTTCAACTAGTTTGCATACCATCTATAAAATTATATAGTCAACAAATACCTTCACAGCAATTGAAAGAAGAAGAACAGATAAATACTCAATCAGTTAATACATTTGTATATAGAACACATACTTGTGGAGAATTAACAATTAATGATATTAATAAAAATGTACAATTATGTGGCTGGCTTCAATTTAAAAGAATGGAAGCATTTATTGTTTTACGTGACTCATATGGTGTTACTCAATGTATTATATATAAACAAGTAATAATTTTGAATATATATCTATATAGATAATAATTACTACTAATAACAATAATATAAGAAACTTTTTATTTTATATATTTAGAAATTAGATCTATTAAAAAAATTATTAAGCTTACCATATGAATCAGTTTTAAAAATTACTGGAATTGTTATGCCAAGACCTAAACATAAATGTAATCCAAATTTGAAAACTGGAGATGTTGAAGTTAAAATAGAATCATATGAAATTTTTAATTTAGCTATGTCAAAACTACCATTTAATATAAGTAATTTTAATGAAGCAAAAGAATTTCTTCAAATGCAGTATAGATATTTAGCACTTAGATATCCTAAATTACAAAATAACTTAAAAATAAGATCATGGGTAACAATGAAAATGAGAGAATATTTAATTAATCAATGTGGATTTATTGACGTGGTAACTCCAATATTATTTCGGAAGACTCCAGGAGTTTGTAAAATTTGAATAGTTTTATGAAAATTATATGAATTTTATATTTAATTCAAAATATTTTAACATTAATTTCAGGGTGCTCAAGAATTTGTTGTTCCTACAAAACAATTAGGAAGATTTTATTCTCTTACTCAAAGTCCACAACAATTTAAACAATTATTGATGGTTGGTGGAATTGATAGATATTTTCAAATAGCTCAGTGTTACAGAGATGAAGGTTCAAGAAATGATAGACAACCTGAATTTACACAAGTACGTTATATATAAAAACTGTTTAAGGTTACTTTAATTACTTATAATAAATACTAAAGCATAACATTTTTAATTCAATCTAATTTAATTATAGTTAGATATAGAAATGTCCTTTGTTGATCAAGAAAACATAATAAATTTGACTGAAAAATTAATTGAAAATAGTTGGCCTAAGTTTTTAGAACCACTACAAATACCATTTGAGCGATTGTCCTATGAAGAGGCATTGGAAATTTATGGTACTGATTGTCCGGATCTAAGAATACCTGGAAGGGTAATTAAATTATAACTATATTATATTTTAAATCATCTTTGAAAGAACTAAATTAATAACTGCTTTTTAGATTTATAATATATCAAAAATGATTGGAAAAGATCTCAATAAACCATATGAAGTCTATGTAACTGTATTTCCACAAAAAAAAGTATTTTTTTTTAATTCTAATCATAAAATATATAAAAATTATATTATATATGTACATTTTTTACTTAATTTCAGCAATTTTTAACAAAATCTGTTCAAGAACAATTCATAAATTTGTCAACACAAATATTTAAAAATGCAACATTGATTCAACTTGGAATATCAGATTTAAAATTAGAAATATTGAAAGACTTGTTTTCAAAATCTTCAAGAGAAAAAATAACAAATTTTTTTAATTTGAAAAAAAATGATGTTTTGTTATTAACTTATGGGCTAAAAGCAGAAGCTGTAAGTAAATCTGATTCTATTTAATATATCTAACCATTAAATATAATATACAAACCTTCAATTATTTTAAATTATAATTAGAATTGAATAAGTGACTGGAATTATTTTATTTAGAGACAACTTCTTGGAAAAATTCGAGTTGACTTTACAAATGTCATAGAATCAGCTGGTGAAGCTATTAGATCTTGTGTATTTAAGTTTGTGTGGATATTCGATTTTCCATTATTTGCAATTAATAACAAAACTAAAGTTATGGAAATTTCTCATCATCCTTTCACTCAACCTCATCCTGATGATTTAAAGTATTTATGTACAGATCCTTTAAAGGTATTTATTTATTTTATGTATATAAATAAAAAAAAAAGAATTGTTTTTATAGTAATAGTATGATTGTAATAACTATTTTGGTTTGAAAGTATAAAATTATTCTTAGTATTTCAGTAAGAAAGTATTAAAAACTCTGTTAAAAATATTCAGGTTCGTGGATTACAATATGACCTAGTTATTAATGGATCCGAAATTGGTGGAGGGTCAATTCGTATTCATCAAAAAGATCTTCAAAAAGAAATTTTAAAAATGTTAAATATTGATTCATCAGAAATGTTTTATTTATTAGAGGCTTTAGACAGTGGTGCCCCTCCACATGGTGGAATTGCAATAGGTAAAACTTAACTATTCAATTTCAATTTTGAAATTTCACAAATATTTTTTATCTTGTGTATATAAATTTAGGTTTAGATAGATATATTTCTATTATCTGTAAAGCATCTAGTATTAGAGAAGTAATTGCATTTCCAAAAACTATCGATGGATGTGATTTAATGTCAGGTGCTCCAACATTAATTTCTGAAGCTGATAAAAAATTATATCATATTGAAACTGTAGATAATAATACAGTGACAAAAGTTGCTGTTGTATGAATACAAATTTATTAAAAATCTTTTTTTAACTTATTAAAATATAAAAATGAAATTGTTACTTTGCAAACATTAAACAAATAACGATTACATATTTTAATAAATATTTTCTTTTTCTTTTATACTTAGTAGTTATAGATAACAAACATTAATTTAATAAATGTGAATGTCTTATAAATAATTAAGTATAAGGGTAAAAGTAAGGTAATAAAAAATAATAATTTAAAGATTTTTAAGGTGTACAAAGTAATTTTATTATGATTTATTACAAATAAATTTGTCATTATATAAAAACCTGATTTATTAAAAAATGAAAACATTTTTGAATCATTAAATAATGAAATAGGAATTAATTTATGTTTAAATAAAAAACTTAAGAATTTGTAAAATATTTTTTCTTTTTTATAAATATTGTATATGTCTGAGATTATATTTCATAAAATATTTATTTAATTTTTTGAATTTACGCATTTAATTTGACTGTTCTGTAAGTATGTATAAATTTTATGATGAAATATAAAGATAATTAAAACAATTATAAGCTGTATATCAATATTTTAAAGATTGTATTACTTAATTAGCTGATATAAATCCACAGATATAGACTACACATAATTGTTAAATGAAATGCTTTATATTTTTATTAAAATTTTTTTTATATAAAAAGAACAATGGAATTATAAAAGTAAATCTTGTTTTATATTAAATACTTGCTAATTTGTAATTGTAATTAATATTATACTTTATATGTTATTTTTTTATTATAAAAATATTTTTTTAAAGAACATTGACACACACTCTATCATTCATAAACAAGTTAAATCTTGAAACACATTAAATGAAATACATTTATCACAATATGTCAGAGCAAAAATAATAATTCTATCTTGCTGTAGTTTATAATGTAAGTTTCTTTTGGAATTTTGTGGAAATGTGCTGCTTCATCTTACATACATGTGTATGTGATTTACTAGATTAATATAATTACTGACAGTATAAATATTTATACATAAAAATGGAAGCTTACTATTTGTTTAAAATACAAGCAGGTACATCACTATTAAATATAAAGCACCCAAAGCTATATTGTCTGTATTATTTATCAATGTGAATTAAATATAATTTAAAAATAGAAAACAAAATAAATACATACTTAAATAAAATTTTAATTTTATTAAAATTTAATTTATAAGTGATTTTAATTTTTTTTTTTACGAATTAAATTAGAAAATATATTTTTCTTATAATTTAAAATTTTAAGTTGGAGGATTATAACAAATATGTATTTTTCAAATAATCTATTAGAAATATTTGATATATTTAAAAGAAAAAATTATATAACTGCAATCATATTGATAAAAATGTATGCTATGAAATAATGGAACATTGGTATAAGTTACAAATATTGAGACAATAAGTTGTGTACATTATGCATATAATAAAATGACTATGAAATTCAAATAGGTTTTTAAGGAAAAACCTTATATGAACAATATCATTAAATACTTTTATAATAAGTCAACAGTTTAAATTGACTAACATAAAAAATTTAGTCACTTGTAATGAGAATCTTGTCAACAGTGTTTTTAATTCCAATAATGTTCATATTTTCACAGGAATATAACAATTACGACAAAAGCAGAGTAGAAAGTTCCATTTTTATGGACTTTTTATGTCGAAATTTGTTTAAAAATGTTGACAATAACTTGCCTGGCAACAACTGCCTACTAGTCTTCGGTTCATCCGATTATATTTTTCTTACATGAATTCTAAAACTGGTTGCTTACCATTGGAATATATTTATCACATTATTTATGCTATATCATCAACAGTCGGTAACCAGAATGCCATATTTGTGCATGCAGATGCAAGCATCATATATTTTGGATTAAATTGAACACATTGTACTGGTGCAGGATGATCTCCGTTAAGAACACAAACTTTATAGCCAGTATCAGCATTCCAAACATGTACTCTACCATCTGTTGATCCACTGAACACAAACTGTGAATCTGGACTAAAACTGGCTTCAATAGGAATTCCTTTATTGTTAAGATGGCCTGTAAATGTTTGTAGTGGAGTACCATGAAATGCATCTATTAGTCTGATGATACTTCCATTTGTTGAAATTAAAATTGTTTTTCCATCCCGACTGAACTTTAATCCAGTCCAATCACATTCCTTTTCTTGGGAAAGTTTGAAGTTAGTAAATGGACCTTTATCAAAACTTCGCAAATCATACAGTTTAATAGATTCAGAGTTAACACCAGCAGCAAAAATAAGGCCTTCAGGATCATAAGCAGCAACTGGTCTACCAGAAACATTCATTACACCATGACAGTTTGGTGATCTCAGATCCCAAAGTCTCAGTGACTTATCTAGGGAACCAGAGAGGAATGTATCTTCAATAGGGCTAATGCATAGAGAGACTACTTTTTTTGTATGGCCTGGGAAATATCGTATGTACTTATTATCATGAAGACTGAGATAACGAATTGTGTCATCAATTTTTGTGCTACTGTGAATGGCTGTATTCTTTGCGTGAGTGAAGTGTATAAGGTCGACGCCATATTTTTTAGAATTTACAGTGCGCATTTGTGTACCCTTTTCACAATCATAAATAACAATTTGATCATCCTCTGAGCATGATATCAATGTGTCGCCGGTCGTTGAAAAATCGATGCTGTTTATGCGATCCGAGTTTTCGCGAAATATTTTAGCCACCTTGAAGCTCCGAACTACACTATCAACAAGCTTCATAGTGAGATTCAACACCGTGAGCTAACCCTTTTTCTGTTATATAGTTGTTCCCTCTCCACCTATCTTTGTATATAGCGTGCAGAAACGACGACTTTTTAAATGTTTTCTCTTACCTTTCCACGTTTCAGTAGAGAAAAATCACCTCGCAACGTTAACGCTCAAGTCGAAATATAAAAGCTTTTTCACTATTGTCTTGAATTTGCAAAAATCTTTAATTGTAGAAATCGTTCTATTATAAATATAATTATTAATAAACTAACATATTAAGTCTGCTCGCTTAAAAATCAACGGAAGTTAAAAATGATTAACACGATATGTAATAAATGCAAATCGGACATTTTTTAGATTCTGCGCAGAATAGCTTTATGGATACGCGCTGACTTTGAATATTTATTGAGAACAGAAGATTAAGCAAAAGATTAAGTCAGAGCTAAATATTTTGTAAAATATGAAAAAATATTCAACTATAGATTTTGTTAATAATAAATAATTTTGAACGAATGAAAAAAAAAATGAATAAATAAAATAATTCTTAATAATTTATCAATAATTATATATATGTCTAAGGTGCCATTATCCAATAAAAATTGAATATCATATTCTTTGAATGTCTTAAATCAAATTAATTCAATTATTAATTTTTTTTTATAAAAATATAAATTTCAAATATTATTGATCGTTTTATCACTTTTTTAAAATTTAAATTAAAGAACTCCAAAAATGGTTTTTTTTTTAAGAAGAAATTTTATTTCACATGCAGTTTTATATATGTATTGAAGTATTTAATTAAGCATACGCTTATTTTATATAGTTCAACAAATATATATTTATATAATTTTCAATAAATATAATTTATATTATATATATTTATATTATATTAAACTGTACCTTGACAATTTTTGTAAAGACAATTTAATTTGTTTTATTAATGTTCGAATATAATTCAATGACAGTGAACCATTTTTCTCAGGATTGGAGGACTTTCCAAGAATTTAATTCTCGGAAAATGATAATCGTACTAGCTTGCGAAACCATAAACATTGATTCCAAAATTTCTCGATCATTCTAAAGCCTTTGCTTTCGAACGTCCTGCAATGTTATCTAGCCTCCGCATAGCAACGACGGTTGGAATTCTTCAACATAAATTATAATTATGAGAATATAATGGATATATTTTCATACATTAACAATAATGCAATGTGTAGCAGATAAGATTTATAGATATACAGATAAGATTATACATTTAAAATTAATATTAAATTTTATTGAGTATATTCTATTACAGTATCTATAGTTGCAAACACAATTACATCTCTAGGAACTCGTGAATATAGCATTTACGAGGATGTTTATTTATTCTATATTCTGTCTATAATCAATTGTTTTAATAAGTCAAAGTAATTCCTTCTTAACCAATTCACTGTTGTAGTTAGTACTTTATACGTGATTTCTGCTTCAGCGGATATTTTAGGTTTTCATAATGAACTTTCCAAAATAAGTAGCCGACCTCGAAAGAAAATTTGAAATTTTTATCTGCTAATTGGTGAGAAAACTAGGATTTTTAGATTTTCATTCTGAGCATTACAATAAGTGACATTGAATATTTTTACTAGTGATGATATTCCTAAATTTAAACATATTTAAAAGTGAATGATAAAACTGTACAGCAGCTATTTGTATTTTACTAACAAATTTATATCCGCTTGTAAGTTAAGATTAGACCGAATTCTTCTCTTTTTTAACAGCTTAAGAGTCTGGTTAGTATTGATTATAATAATATAAAAACCCTTTAAATAATCATGCAATTTTCTTTTGGATATATACTTCTTTTCTATAGCCAAATAAATATACTTAGTATTGTTCAGTGTGTTACAGTGCACGATCATACTTTTAAAGCAATTTCTTTTTTTGTGTAAATACATTTCTAGTTTTACATTACGAGCATTTTTTTGTAGCGTGAAACATTTTGTAAAAACTGAATAAATAAGTTAACTTTCATAATTACAAATTTATAGGAGCACTAAATTTGTGGCTTTAAGTGCCACAAAACCAGAGCAATTTGTTAACATTTTAAAACAAATTAATGTCAATATGATGATAATTTTATTTATTTGAGTCTATATTCTTTGATTCATGATATTTTGTCCGATATTGTTAATAAATTTTAGTCAAATTTAATTTCATAATTTTTTAAAATTAATTTATTTAATTAATTTAATTTAAAAAATTTAATATATAAATTATATGTATTTAATTATATCTATGAATTTCTATGTGTTAATAAAAAAATTATAATTAGCTATAATTCATTTAAAAATTAAATTTAAATTATTAAATATAATAATCATTTATGTATTAGCAAAATTTATTGTGAAAAATACATTGTTGTGTGGGATCAGACTTAAAGCTTCTCGTTGATGTTAGGTGGAGGTGTTTGCTGGTAAACGGAGGAGGCAGATGCAATTATTCAATTCTACATACAAAAGTATCTTGGTTTCTCCTTTATTAAATACAATAATATGATTATAATCAACGGTTATAGATATATATGAATGGTGATTATAACTGACTTAAGTCTATGAAGTTTCTTCAATAATTTTACTTGTCGATGAGATTGTGTACTATCAGTAGCATGAGGCGTGAATCTCTACTTCCTTGAGGAGTGTCACGTTTTGGTTGTAAGGAATGTGAGTAACAGCCGTTGCTGTTTCTATGTAGTTGTCGGAAATCGTAGCTGTTCAGGCGTATGTAATTTCACTTCGTTACTTTCACTCTTAATTTATGTTTGCACTAGCGCTTCTTGAATATAACTTTAACGGATTCTGATCGTTGTGGCGTTACTATTGGTTTATTAGATTGATTGTTATTTGATGATTGATTACTTGTATAGCTACAGTGAGTGATAACTGTAGGTTGAATGCTTGAAGATAGAAATAGTGAGCCCGTTATGGTGACTGTGTAATTGTTACTAGCACAGTGCGCTGCGCATCAAGCGCTGCTTTTAAATATTCTCGTATAAACTTATGACGCCGGCATAAGTTATGCACCGGTGCCTATTGCTATGCCCAAATATTATTGTTTATTCGAATTCACGACGTAGGAAATTTCCCGAATTCGCTGAATCGTGTTTACAAACATAAGTGACCGGGAGCTTGTACTTTTCCTAATTTTAAATTTTGCTTGAATTGGTTTAATCCCGAACATTCCGCCCGCCATAATTAATTCATTTGATGATTAGATTTCCTTTGTGTATTTTTTTGGGGGGATTGGCATGTGGCGTTAGCGTGCACTTTGTTCGGAGGGTGTAAGGCTACTGATTATCGTGACGTGGTGTGGTCTGTTGTTGTTTCATGCGCTTGGACATATGCAGCTTCTATTAAAGTTAGGGTAAAAAATGTATGGAATTGACGGGGCGACGCAGGCTTCTCGCGTTACGCTGGCTAAGATTGTCTTGGGCTCTTGTTGACTGGTCTATCATACATCATAGATTTAAATCTATCGTCAATGCAATTGATAATTGTTGGTTATGGTCTGCCTTAAGAGTGGAAGAGCTTCTCATCTTGTTAAGTGCCATGTGTACAATGGGAGCCGCCGCCATGGAAAGGTTCTACAGTTGTATATGCAGTGTTTGACTGCTAGAAATGTGATAGCTCTTGTACCGTATGAACTTTAATGTTTTTAATTAGTAATACAGTAATACATAATGTGTTAGTTTCAGAGTATGTATCAAAATGCCTTTAGCATTTTCCTTATGAACTTTGTAAATAAATAAACTTAAATTTCCCTTAAGCTTATGCAGATTTTTGCTATTTGATTGTCATTACATTTTGAAGAAGTTAATGAAGTAATTATTAAATTGTTATTTTTAGTTCTTATTTCATCTAAGATATCATCCGGTGGAATGCCTGTATGACTGATTTTTTCGGTATAACATAGTCATTTAATTCTGATGATATATTATGCTCTGGAGTTATTTTATCAATTTCAGGTTTATCCTTTATTGAAATAATATCTGAATATTTATCCGACAATCTACATTCTGGAGATGATTTTGCAAATGACTTAGAAATGTTATTTATATTTTCAGATCTTTCGGGATATATAGGTAAATCAGATATTTTCGGAGAGTTTATTGTTTCTACTATTTGTATTTTAGGAGAAACAGTTGTTTTAACATCGTCTATTGCTATATTCGGTAAAACTTGTTTAGTATGTACATTACTCTCGCAATTACCAACCTTCCACTTTATTTAATTTTGCTAATTGTTTAATTTTTGGTGTGTCTACAAATAGAGTACCGGGCGATGAGGGACAAATATCTAAAGTTAGGTGTAATCTCCCAGATGGTTGAAGGGAGGATTGCGGGCAAGTGGACAGGATAGTGCATGTATTCAATAATAAATAGCTATGTTACTTGTTGATTTTTAGTTGATGTTTCAATGCTTTCGTTTCTTAAGCTTTGGATTGCTATTGCCATAGAGCGGTAATGTGCGTTACATGTACAGGTAGAAAGTCTTTTCTGGTCCTCTATATGTAATGCATGTGGTGGTGGAGTTGTACACAAAGAAGAACAAGGTCGTGAAATCCTGCGCTTCCTTGTGTAGAGGCACGTTGCAGTAGCTTGAGTTTGCTTTGTTATTGCTTACCTTCTAGGTTCTGCAGGTGTGCTCTTGGTGGCACTTCATCTTGATCTGCAGATATTGCCACGTACGGCGCCTCGTAAGTTTATCTTTTGGGAACTAAACTTACCACTTACGCGTCTGCAGATTGTATGCGCTTGGTCGCGCTACATTTTTTGCCTTGTGAGGTAAATTGTGTATATTTATCATTATTAAGGAATGGAATTTTTACCTTGTGAATTCTGTAGATTTTGTGCTCTTGATGGCAGCTCGTGATGTGTGTAGGCTTTGCCTCATGCGGCAGCTTGTAGTTTCTGTTTTGTGTTTTGCTGGCTATATCTCGTATTGTTTGCTAAATTTGTCTCGAGCGGCTCCTTATAGGTTATGATTATGTTGTGCTCTGTGCACTACTG